GCATAAGTAAGAGAGAGAACCAAAGAAGTAAAGTAACAATAAAAACAAATGAAAGTTGCCTTTACTGCCGATAGTAAACTGAAATCCAAACCGTCTTAAGCATACACGTGTAATATTAAGAAGTTTTTCACCTCATAATAATAAGCTTTTTACAGAGGTTCTTTCCAAGGGATATGATATAAAGTTCAGTTTTATACTGTTGACGCCAAATCAAAATCTGGCAAACTAATCAACAACGGGGCGTAAACGATATCACTATCAGTCAGTACTTGTAATTTTACAGAAGAAATTTCTGAATGTGTGATGTTTAATTTTATTTTCTGTTTATGATTTAAAATATGGTAAATTAAACACTTGTTTATTTATGAAATTCTAAACCACAGGTCAGTACAGTGTTGGTAAAACGGACTTCTTTTACTGAAGTGGAAATTCAAACTAATTTTTAGCGTGTCAATTGGACACGCTAAAAATTACAAACGCTAACAGGAAAAAATTAGAACAAATAAAATGCTTCCTGAAATGTAATTGAATTTGCTGTTATTAAGTGAAGCAAAGCGAAATTTACTACTGAGAGCAATGGCTAGAGTGCCATAAGCACATTCTCCAAACAGATTTTTCACTTTAATTAGTAATGCGTTGAAGAGCCCGGAAGAATGATAGGATCTTTAATGAAAAAACAATGAACGATTTTTAAAGTGTGCGATGTGATTACGCCAAAGCCTCGAGAGCTATTTGCTTAAGGGGAGGAAGTATTGCCTAAGGACTTTCTGAGGGAAACTGGCTCCCATACACATTATACATGAGGAAAACCACGAAAATGCATATGCAGCCAGCCCGTTCGTGGATTCGAACCTCGGACTACCAATATTCAGCGACTTAACCGCTCGGCCGCTGGTGGGCCGAACGATTTGAAAGAGAACACATAGATATTACTATATTGAATCAAAAAGTTTTTAAGGTATAATATTAAGAAGGAAATGAGGAATAAGGCAATGTGTTTGGAAGAAAACCTAGCATAATTAATTCAATTTCCAAAATCTGTGAGTTGTATTTAATAGTTTACTCACTCTCCACTGTTGATTAGAGTAGCTTTGTTACAGAAAGCTTTCTCGATAAAGCCTTACGCTTAAATTATTCGTTCAGCATCATTTTACTTATTTTTAACATGGAGTTCAAATTTTAAAAAATTCATTAGTTAATTAAAATAAAATTTCTTTGTATAAACTTTATTCCCTTTCAAAGACATCGTTTCTTCATTTTTCATTGAAAAACTCATTCAGGAGAGTCCGTTTTTTTGGGTGAATTCTAGAATTTCTGTCCTCAATTTTAATTTCTATAATAATATGTAAATAATTACTTCCACAAGAGTTGACATTTAAAACATTTGTATTTCGTGTTTATTGATTGCTTTTGTACAAAACTGCTTCAAAAAACTAACTCTTTTTTACTGAATTTTGCATCTTTGGTTAAATTTTTTGATGAATTGTACAGTTTCGGTTTGTTCTCAACGATTTTTTTTACCTAAATCGAAATTATTTGCACTATGGATCCAAGTTAAATCTGAATGTATTCCAGAATAAAAGGATAAGATAATTTAGCAAAATTATACTTTTAAGGGGAAAAAATATGTATCGTATATTACGTAGTGTAATATTTATTTCAAATATTTAATTTAATACGTCTTTCTTATTTCATTAATATTTCCTAATAAACTCATCAGTAACTCGGAAGAGGATTAAGGGAAGACTACCAAGTTCTCACGAGTCAGCAGCATTGCATTTTGTGAATAATGCATCTATAAGCATGTCAAAACTTAGTTATAGATTTTTCAGATATCCACAAGTTATTTGCTATGAAAATTGCCTTCCGTAGCTGTATTTTTTCCTGACAAGTTCCATCATTCAATTATTAATTTTCTGGTTTAGAATAATATGATTCCTGAAAGCTGGAAAAACAAATCTCGGTCCATTTCGCTTCAGTTTTATTTTTATTCTCAGATCATTATCGGACTTTTTAAACCACTTCACAGTTTTTTGAGATGCGGTATTTTTCAATATTTTTTTTTTTTTCATGTATCTCTTCATGAACAAAATATTTTCTTGTAAAACTTTTCTTATTAAACTGTCCTCCATATCTTTTCAAAATTTAAGCTAACTGAATTACTTTATTCATTTTTCCAAGTAGGAAATGAAGTTGCTGTAGGAATTAAAGAATTTTTCAGAAAAGCATGGCCTAAAAACGGGGGGGGGGTGAGAAAAAAAGAGCGAAAAATTAGGAAACATTACACTAAAAAATATTTCTATGAAGTACAAATTAATTAATTACTGAAAGTATTTCAATATTAATAGCTTCCCCCTAAAGTTTTCGTATGCCTTTATGGACTGGCAGTAAAAAAAAAATTACATTACTTAGATGTTGAATTCGGAATATTTTGCGGGACATGTACTACAGTGAAGAATTGCATTAAAATCTGGAACGGGTTTTCATACTCTGGAACATCTAATCATCCAAGGTATAATTCTTTCTTAACCTCTTCGCGACGGGCGAATCATATATGAATTTCTTACGGACGCATGTGAGGCCCGGGCGGTTCACCCGTGCACTCCTGCAGAACTGGCCAAGTGAACGGTCAGTGCAGATATGCATTTTAAGCTGAAACAATTTTTAATAGCCACTAGATGGCACTCTGTGTCCATTACATTTAAACTGAACGTAGTTTTAGTATTCTGACCTTCAGATTATTTTATATTCTGGCTGTTTTTGGTATTTTGCTTGTCAGCTGTGGCTGGGGAGGGGGGAAATCGTAATGTAAACAAACGCAGCTCGGCTCTTTAAATCGCTGCGTGTGAAAACATTCTCGTATCTGATTTATATCCAATTCCTTTTTTATTCTATTTTTTTCCTCTACTTTGTACGATCTTTTAGGGTTACTGTGCGGAGTTTTTTTACGTTTTGCATTGCCTTCAGATATATTTCCGTTCCTTCTTTTTTTATTTAGGAAAGCCTCACCTCCAGTCTATTATGACGGGAAGGAGGCGCTATTTATCAGAGGAAGAATACCCTAGTATGGTTAGTGAACCATTTACTAACGCAAATGAGAGTACTGATTCATTTTCTAAGGAGTTAAAAAGTGATACTTTTTCTAAGAGTTACAAGGTGATACTTCTCTGTGCTTCGAAATTTACCACGCTCGTTTTCATTTTAAATTTTGTTACTTCTTACTGTAAATAGTCTTTATTGTGTTCTTTTTAATAATTTTAAACTTTATTGATGGATTTTATCAATTAAAACTTTAGAATAATTTGAATAGCTCTTCCGAAAAATATTATGGAAGATAAGCAATTTTTTAAGTATATTTCCATGTAAAATAAAGAAATAAATGTTTTAAGGGCTAATTTTAACATATATAAGAGCTCAAGTAATAATCTAAAATGATACCAAAAATTACGATGCTGGAAGCGAAACTTTTGTTTTTCTGATTTTTGTTATAAAATTAGGCTTAACGATGCAAAACCTCCGTCCTGTACGGTGACTGCCTTCGATTCTCTTCCGTCCCGCACGAGCGTTTTAAACAAAGGTGCGCCGTCGCGAAAAGGTTAATCCACTTCAAATTAGGAGTAAAAGTGAACGGAATCTGTCATAGTAAGCGCAGTGTAAATAGCATCACCAACTGACAGCAGTTTATCGCATGTATCTGTACACTAAACATGGAAAGATCTCGAATTTGGGAGAACAGATGAAATGTAGGGGTATAGAATTTCTGTTTGGGAATTTGGATTTGAAATTTGTTTTCGTTAGCAGCTTCATGATTTTATTTTTACTTATGACCAAGGGTATTATAATTACTAACAATTATTCTGTACTATTTAGTACATTTGTTTAAAACAAAATGTTACAACAATAACGTAACTAAAACGGAATGTATTAAAATGTCAGGACGGCTTCCAGACTGGGAATGAAAGCTCTCAGTAAAAGGTAACAATATTACATAACTTTCGCCCAGCAAAAATTAATTTTAAAACACTTATTCTAATTCCCTCCCTTAAAAAAGGAATATTTTGTACGTTTCAGTGAAATAGGCTAATTACTTGTAGTTTCGGGGACATTAAAATAGCCCTGAAGAATGAAAGCTACCCGTACATCTTCGAAAACAAGTTTAGCAAATGTCCTACTTTATATAGGGAAAGTGAATATAAATCTCTCTGTAAAGATCTGGAAGAAATCGCTCTCTTCTTGGACTAGTTCTTGAAATACACTAGTTGCTGCTGCTTTTCGTACGTGCGAAAACGTACTAAGGATAAAGGAAAGCATGTTGAGTTGGCAAGAAATACTGGGTAGGCCAGAAAGTTATTTCGATTCGCACAAATGGATAGTGTAATATTCGTTTAGTTATTCTTCTGTTAATCTTAATCAATTCTATTAAGTACAGCAGAAGTAATGAAGCAAACAAATTTCAAGAATGCCATCGATGATTTTGCTAATAGAAAAAACAAGCAAAATAACTTTTTAAATGTTGACAATGAAAGTTTTATTAAAAAAATTAGCGCAGAGCTTTTATTTTTATTTCCCTATATGTCGTTTTAACATTTTATGGATTTGATTTTTTGATATGCATTGAGAGGGGCAGCAAATGGATCGCCCCGGGCGGCAAAAGTTCTAGCTACGCACTTGAAGGTAAATTAATACGATGGGTTAGTGCGGAGACAATTCGTGAAATTTTAATAAAAGACTTCTGATAGAAAATATTGTTACGGATTTTGTATTTAGTTAGCTATTTTTAGTAAAGTTGTAATTAAAATTGTTTTATATCCCCGTGCAAAGCAGCACGAATCATATTTTAAGAGAGAAAAAAAGTAAAATTATAAGAGCACGCGTATTTAACATTTAATAAATAGATATCTCGTAATTTATATTTAAATTGAATAAATGTTACTATTATGTTACTACTACATTGACTACTATATTAGCTGTAACCTTAATTCTACTCTTTTGCTTTCCAGAAATCTCGAGGAAAAGGAAATTACCGGAACATTCTCGTGCCCTATTAAAAAGCTTTAAAAAGCCGGAGAGAAACATCTCAGTTCAGTTGTTTAGATAACTGTTGTTGCTGATTGCAGCGAATTCGCGGTGAGATCGGGTTACCTTTCTCTGCGCTTTGGATTGCATTCTATTTAGCGTTTTAGTAGTTTGAAATATAACTACTGCATGATATTGTACGAATATCTTTGAGAAAAAATCCAACGTTTTGTTATATTTGTGCTAAGAATAAATTTTATTAACTTTTTATCGGACTTGTGCATTCAATCTATTAGGAACCCTTACGCACGCAACAGTATTTACTTCTCAGCTATTGCCATTTTCTTTCTCTCATAATAAAAACATGACAGCGTTTAGTATGAAAAAGACCCTTCAAATTTGTTTCAGAAATTAAAATGTTTTAATACCGATGTTTTCTGAAAATGAAACATGGAATTTTCACTATCATTCCATAAATCAATGCCAAAAATGCTAACAGAGTAAGCATCATAATCTACAGCAATAGTTTCCAGTCCTATTTTTTCTGCATACTCCCTGATAAGACTTTGTAAATATATAGTACCCCTAACCTCCCCTATTAGGACTTATGAACCTTAATCCCCCTCTAGTATTTTCGCAATACATCTTACTATAGTATTATATTAATACAATAAGTTTAATAAACTTCAGATTAATAACATCAAAACATTTAATCAGTTAGCTGTTCATTTTTCAGAAAAGGATAATTTTGAAGTGGATTTAAAGAAAATTTCATTGAAAGGATCTGATATTCAGTTGTTCTCCTCACATCGTATGGGAAAATAATGTTTAAATTATCCTTGTAATCCATTTATATGCGTTATTATGTTCTCTTTGGTTTTGTTTGTCTTATTTTCTGGTAAAGTTGCGAAGTGTCTCATATTTCGCTCTTAATTTTTTTCATTAGTCGATCCCTAAAAATGTAACTTTTTTATCATTGAATCAAGCAGTTTTGAACTGTTCTACAATTCTAAACTGAATTTATTTTTGAAAAGATATCGAATATTTATGCAAGTGCTTGAAGCCTTTCATCATTGTGAAATTTGAAGCTTAATTGAAATGACGGTCTTCAAAATAAGTGCTTCGGGCAAATGCGAATTTCTACTATCTTATAATAATAAAAGCAAGTGTAATGTGTCTGTCTGTCTGTCTGACCGAGCTCTCCAGCCAAATCTATCGCACGCCGGGACCTGGAATTTTTTATACGGAAGCACAAAGGGGCTGGCCACCAGACCTCGAAGCCCGATTTTCGATTTTTGAATTAGAAAAATTTTTAAAAAATTATTATAATTAATTAATCACGGTTTTTTTGACTCACTGATATTATTATTTGTTTTCAAATAACGTTCGATTGTAACAATTGATTTCTTTATTCTAGCGTTAGTTTGCTGTTTTGACGATACATTAAATCGATTAATTACAATTCATTTCTTTTTTGTAGCTTGTGGGGGGGGGAAGAGAGAGAGAGACAGTCTACATGTCCTACACTACTATTCCTGCGCTATTCACTTATCTGCATTTTCTAAATGCACGGGCAACGCCGGGCGGGTACACCTAGTCTATAATAATTTTAAATTTTATGAACTTCTGCATTGTAACTATTTAGCCATTTGTAGATAAAGAACAGTTTATCTTTAACAACTTTAAAAGAACAAAAGCTAATTTAAAATAAACCTCCACACTTAAACTAATTAAATGGTATGTTAAATTTTGCTTTTCAGTACAGTAAATAATCATATGGCTGTAGGTGTGTCACTTTTGCTGCGATGTTTCCCAAAGACGTCACCAACTTTTCCATCACCTACTTGTACTACCTCGCAATTATCGTTGCTGACACAAAAATAGTGTTGTATCATGATATTTGGAAATGCAATTATGTTAGAATTGAAACTCCAGAATTCCATTTGCATACACTGTACTGTAACGTTGACGCTTTAGTCCCTTTCATTGAAATACTGGGAGTGCATTTCTTTATAGTCATGTGTTATCTTTAAAGTGGGTGAAAAGTGTCAGGTGTTCTCTTAAATATTTTCTGCAAATGTTAAGCTCTGAAACTGTGAATAAAACTAAATAAAGTAAAATAATAATTAATACAGCAATAAATAATGAGCAATTAAAAATTAAATTACTTTACGGAATATATGTGAGGAGAAGTAAAATGTTAGCGAAACCGATAGCTTAAGTTGAGAACAAGCCCTCTGTATAACTGAGCTTTCTCTTCCCCCCACATTTGGATACGAATCGAACCGCCCGCAGATACTCTTTTCGTGAAAAGATGATAGTATTGAACATGCCTAAGTAGTTTCTCTTAAGTGTTTCAATATACTAGGCTCAATTGTCACTTAAAAACATAAACAATGGTTCCTTTTACTACTGTAAACCGTGGATACCTGGACTACTTATTTTAAATGATCAAATAGGACGGTACGACTACGTGCTACCACTAATACTTTCAGGAACGAGGAATTTGCTTTTAAAATATATTGCACGTACTAGAGAGTAAGGTTTTTCCATATTGGAGTGGCCTTTTTATTTCTTAAACATTTCATCTTTCTTCCGTAGGACTGTTTACCAGGAAAACAGAAGCATGCATTCACAAACTAGTATCTGTTTTCCTTATTGTTAAAATAAAATGTTACGAGATCAGATAAACTTTCTGTTGAAACTGTTTACAGTTTCATAAAAGGAAGTCCCAGAGCTCATGTTACTTAAGGCTCAGGTGCGCATCGGCAGGAATTATGATTTATTTCAAGAACTGAAAAATATCGGATCCAGGCTCCACTGAGCTCCGCTTCACTTTAGGTGTTTATTGCTTCTTGATTCACTGCTATGGAACAAAGCTTTTGTTTCCTGAAAGTTGACCTTTAGACGAGTACCTTGACCTCTTCGGCAAAAGCTGCTGTTGGTAAATATTTTGCAGAAGGCCTTTCTTCTAATCTTGCTATTTTTCATGTCTTTGTAGAAGAAGGAAGGATAAGTTTTTTTTGGTTATACTTTTATAAGTTTTTTACCCATTTTTAAAGAATATAAATGATTTAATAAAATTATAAATAACTGTGATTAAAAACTATAATTAACAGTTTAATAATAATCGAATCATTTAGCATTATTCTATTAGTTAAGAATAACTGCTTATTCGTTTATGGCATATTCATTATTTCAATGCAATTCTTAAAAAAATGTTGGGGAGTCAATTACATGTAAGTACTAAAGCTTTTTAGAATTATTTGTTTATTTAGAAACTCAGGTTAAAAATAATAATTAAATACTTTCATTTTTTACTGTTGATTTACCAGCACCACAATGAAAATACACATAGCGATCTTTCAAAAAATGTTTCCTCCCTATATAAAGGATACAATGAATTCCACAGACTAACTGCACTTGAATTTTCTGTTGTCTGTACCCTGACGCTGACAAGACTGACGCATTTCTCAGATTTGGAAGACAGAGCAACCCTAATTTTTGACATCCTATTATATGTGACCAGTGGCGAATCCAGGAGGTGTGCTATGGTGTTGCTGCCTTCCCAAGAGATAAAGCAGAATTCTTCCTTTTTGGCTAGTTATGTCACTGTGTTTTTATTAAGTTATCAAAAATACTGTAGCATTCTTTGTGATTCTTGCTTTCAGGTGAATGAAGTCTGGCAAGTGTTTTCATTTACATAAGCAATTTTGAATTTTAATTTACATAGGATTTGATACTCGAAAACTGCGATACTTTAGTGATTAATATTTTGCCAACTTCCTTAATTTCCATTGCAGAATATTACTGAATATAACACTTAATGTAACTGAGCACGATTTTATGGGAATTTAAGTAGGTTATTATTATTATATTATTTTGGTTTCTCAGTGCCCTCAATCACAAAAATTTTAGAATAGTGGTGAAGATGATCATAGCATTTCTTTATTGGTTAGATAAGTCTGCTTTGGCGATGGGTAACGGCATATCTAGTTCCTGTTCCTGCGGTAGTCGCAGTAGTGATAATGATGAGAATAATGAGGAGAGTTTGTTGTGTCCCCAAAACTCAATTATAGATGACAACAATATAATACTGGAAAAAAGAAAATACTTGTAGAAAACTTAGATTATTTCGAGTTTTCGAAGTTCATATGGAAGCCGTTCGAAAATTAAGAGTTTCCTTAGAGTTTCAAGAGAAAGATTATCCAGAAAATTTCAGAATGCATTGTTCAGAAAGTACCCTAGTTAGCGTATAAATTAGAAGACACAGCATACTTCAAACGTGCATTTTTTGCGATGCATTACGTTAGACGCACATTTTCACAGCCTATGGCCTATTAGGTGCAAAAAGGATTTAACAAATGGAAATAGTATTTCAATAACAGTAATGCCATAATGAAAACCATAATATTGTTTAGAAAACAAGGTACTGCATTACACTGACGCGGAGATCAGGGGACAACTGATTTAGATAACTTACTATCTTATAATGAAGGAAATTTCAATAACTTACTATCTTATAATGAAGGAAATTTCAATAGCTTACTATCTTATAATGAAGGAAATTTCAGAGCTATCTTAAGATTTGCAGATCAGTCTGAAGACAAATCTCTGAAGATTATCTATGAACTTCAAAGAAAAATGCACTATATATATGAGTTTCGTGATCCAAAACCGCTCATCCAAAATGCAGCATGAAGAAGGACAAATATAAAAACAAATTTATTCCAACGATTTGTACATAGTATCATGTTAGCTAACTTGAAATACAGCTCTGAGGTGAAGAAGAACGAGAAAATAAGTATTGGAATGTTGCCTCCACGTGTAATCACTAATCCCTGCTACATGCTGATGCATTTAAATGAAAGAGGGTTTGGATGTATTGTGGGGAATGGCAGGCATGCTGCTTCCACACGCAACCAAAGTTCATCTGGTGTGCCTATGGGTGCGGTATGACGCGATAGGCGTTCTCCATTCATTAACCAAAAATGTTCAATGGATGATAGATCTGGAAAATTTAAGAATAGTTGCAGTAATACCAGTGACAATAGCACCATCAAAACACTGAAGACATATTTGAGAAATGCAACAGTACAGTATAACGCAGAGATAACATTGGTGAGAAATGCAACAAGTAAAAATAGACTTACCGCTCTAGCACTTATGAATATATATTATAATATAGACATAAATATTAATGAAGCCCTTAATAATTTAGGCCCAAAGAACCATCATATGGATTACCTTATAATTTGCTGTCATTTTTT